CGCTGTACACAGAGGAGGAGCCCACCACCTGGGCATGTGCCCTGATCAAGAATCGAACCGTGACCTTCTGGTTCATAGGTCGATGCTCAACTACTGAGCCAAGCCGGCCGGGCAGCAAAAAGTTTTTAAAAGATCGCTTCGCATTGGAGAGGACGGGTGCAGGACAGCAGACATCTGCCAAGGCCTCTTGACATGCACGCAGTGTGGCAGTTTGCATCTAGAGCAGTGATGGCGAACCTATGACACGGGTGTCAGAGGTGACACGCGAACTCATTTTTTTGGTTGATTTTTCTTTGTTAAATGGCATTTAAATATATAAAATAAATATCAAAAATATAAATCTTTGTCTTACTATGGTTGCAAATATCAAAAAATTTCTATATGTGACACGGCAACAGAGTTAAGTTAGGGTTTTTCAAAATGCTGACATGCCGAGCTCAAAAGGTTTGCCATCACTGATCTAGAGCCTTAAAAACGGTCTTCATGTCCTTTGATCTGGTAAACACGCTCCTGGGAATGTATCTTAAGGAAATCGTTGCAAGTGTGGAAAGCTTTGCGGGAAATAGTGGTGCAGTCTATGCACGTCCGGGAGAGAGCAGGTGAACGGCCACTTACACCGCCTGCTTCTAGGAGGCTTTACGAGTGGGGCATCGGGCTTTGGGAAATTCTGTAACTTGCCAGGGTTCACACAGCTGGCACAGGATAGCACCATATTCAATTCCAGGCGTGTTTTATTCCAAAACCCATGCTTTCAATCATGATGCTGATACAGAAACAAGTATTTTCTCAACTGGCACAAAAAGGCCGACCAATCCTCGTATCATCGAGTTATTCACAAGCGTAGCAACAGATGACGAAGGCGGAATAAGAGCTACGATTATTTTTGTGCCCGGCCATGTCTGCTGCCTTTCGGCACCACGCTGCCCTTCTGGGCCATCCTCCTACTTGGGGCTTACAGCCTGCACACGCCACGCCCCACACTCCCGGCCAGACAGCTTCCTGCTCTGTCCCATCGTTTCTTGGGGCTAGCACAAGAAGCAGAGGTTGGTGAAGGCACAGAGGTACTTCTCTTCAGTAGTGGCTTGGCAGAGGCAGCCACAGCGGAGGATGCCCGAGGACGGAGGATGCCCAAGGACGGCTGCGGGCTGCGGTGGTGATGCTGCAGCAGTACTGGAGGGAGGAGACTCAGTCTCCCGAGCGGAGCAGCGGGCTCCACCAGCTCCGTGGAGAATGGCGGCTGGAGGCTCCAACCCAGGGGCAGGAAGAGGGGGCAGCTCCCTGACCTTAGACTAATAGCCTTCCCCTGTGCCTCCCAAGTGGCCTCCCTCCATCCCCCTTTTGGCCTTTTGGTTCTTTTAACAACTTTGGAACCAATTTCTGGCATTCAATCCATCTCCACTTGAATTATCTGGAGTGTTTTCTATTTTCCTGTCTGGCCACGAACTGACATACTCTGCATCTGCAGCAAAAATTATATACTTTAAAAAAAATCCTCACCCGAGGATATTTTTCACTGATTTTTAGGGAGAGCGGAAGAGAGAGGGAAAGACAGAGAAACATCGATGCGAGAGAACCACATCAATCGGTTGCCTCCTGCCTGCGCCCTCCTTGATTGGTTGCCTCCTGCACGTACCCTGACCAGGGCCCGGGTTGGGGAGGAGCTTGCAATTGAGGTACCAACCAGCCCTAGACCCCTTGACTGGAATCAAACCTGGGACCCCTTGGCTAGCCACTGAGCTAAACTGGCTAAGGCAAAAAATTATATACATGTTTACTAGAATAACATTAGTTAGAATGACATTCTGGCCTGGCTGGTGTGCCTGAGTGGTTGAGTGTCCACCTATGAACCAGGTCAGGGCTCATGCCCAGGTTGCAGGCTTGCCCCCCAGTAGGGGGGCCTGCAGGAGGCAGCTGATGGATTATTCTCTCTCATCATTGATGTTTCTCCCCCCCCCCTCCCTTCCCCTCTGAAAAAAAAAAAAAAAAAAAAGACTGACATTCTTATTTTTATAGGTGGAAGAAATAGGCTATAAGTACTCGCTTTTCTTCTGTAGGGAGCAAAATATCTTTGCATTTTGTTTCCTTCATATATGGTAAGAAAAATTGTCTCTCTAAGTTATACAAGTAACTTGGAAAATAAAAGATTTATTAACTCAGGATATAACTTTTTTATGGGACAAACTACCAAGTGTCTTAGCATCACTTGTCAGATAATATTGGACAGCAGCTATAACACAGAGATTGCACAATTTTAACAACCGTAATAAATATGGTCAGTTGATAGCGGGCTCCAAACTTCCTCTGGCTCTTCCTGAGAAAGGTTTGATGACTGACTATGATCCATTAAGAAACATCTAAATGGGAAGAAACACAGAAGTATTTTTATGAGTGTCATTTAGGGTTTTGTTTTTTTTTAAATAAAAATGCTCAGATAAACTAAAGAACTTAAGGTTTAACTGTATTGCTAAAAATCTACACATAACATTCTTGAGCAGTTCAGATGAATAGGACTATAGAAAAACCTATTTTTAAGGGCCACAAATTCATCTCCTAAATTCATATTCTCCCTTTTTGAAAAAAGCAATTTTATGCTACTGAGCACAACAGACTTGGAAGTTATTAATGAAAGTTAAGAACACATAGGCTTATTTTAATATGTCTATTTTGGACCAAAGGACAGAAACCTCCCCCCACAATATTTAGGTTTACTAAAACTACTAATTCACGATCAAAATAAAAATATTTACCTTATATTTAAATTCAAAATAGAAGTAGAAATAATTTACATGCACATTTTATATATAAAGACATTGGGAAGAATATATACCAAAATGTTAACAGTGATACTCTCTTGGTAGTGAGATTTCAAGAGATTCAGAACTTTGTTTTTTTGCTCTTGCAAATTTCTCTTTTTTCCTTAGGGAACATTTGTGTCTTAGGTAACTAAAAAAGGAGAAGTAGCCGAAACCGGTTTGGCTCAGTGGATAGAGCGTCGGCTTGCGGACTGAAAGGTCCCAGGTTCGATTCCGGTCAAGTGCATGTACATGGGTTGCGGGCACATCCCCAGTGGGGAGTGTACAGGAGGCAGCTGATCGATGTTTCTCTCTCATCGATGTTTCTAACTCTCTATCTCTCTCCCTTCCTCTCTGTAAAAAATCAATAAAATATATTTAAAAAAAAAAAAAAAGAGAGAAGTAAAAGCCACTGATACTCAAGCACCACATTAACTAAGGCCTTTGGAAATGTAGTGTCTCACTTGCTTCAGTTTGAAAAGCAAGACTATAGGAGGGAGCTGCAGAGCAGGTGGCCCAGGTGTAAAGTCAGAGCTTGCCCAGGGTCAGTGATGGGCTGGAGGCCACATGGCCGCTTGGTGCAGAGCTCAGAGGAGAGCCATGGCCTCTTCATTGCTGGCCTGGGACTCTCATAAAAAAGTAAAATATAAAAAATATATGCAGTCCCATGTGAAAACACGGTGATCTCCAGAGCAAGTCTGGCTCAATGTCAAGACCCTGGAAACAGAAATGGCGTCAGGCTGGTGAGGGCCCAGGTAACTGCGGGCAGCTTTACCTTCAGAATCTCACAGGGAGCGGCGTCTGCGGGCACGGGGTTCCCACGGTGCTTTGAGTACTCACTTATAAAGACGGAAGCTTCATCTATACTACAGCATCAGAGAGAAAACGAAGGGCATGAGGAAAGTTTTGGGGGTGGGAACTATGCTCGCTAACTGGATTGTGGTGAGGGCGTCACCGGTGTAGACATATGTCAAAACTCATTCGATTGCATGTCTGAAATATGTGCAGCCGGTCCTATATAGATCACGCATCAAAAAATAACGCCCGTTCACAAATGACAGCAAGTGATTATGGTTGGACCCCAGCGATACACAAGCAGAAAGAGCCGTGCTGTGGTCGGGAGAGAGGCACGCCTCCCATGTGATCAGCACAGCGAGGTGAAGGGAGGGATAGGCCCAGGAGGCAGGTTAATCCCTTGCCTTTCTTCAGGGTCACCCCATTTCTTCTCTCTCCTTTTCACTTTACAGATCTGTTCCCAACCTTATCCCAGGAGAAGCTTGTTGTTTCCAAACTTGTGGATGCTGGAAAATTAGATAACCAAGCTTGGCCAACATTATGATACATGAGCCATCGACTCTGAGCAAACGCTAAGAACTAAAGCTGTCATTCAGGGTTTCAGAGCGGAGCTGAGAGACACCTACTTTGGAGGCTCAGGCAGCTTGTTTGTCTGATTCCCAGTGCATGTTCCAAGGGATGGGCTACAAGACAACTGACCTCTGGGTACGGGTAGTAACGCTACAAGGTAACGTCTGGAGCCTTGAGTTACAACCAAACAGCTCTATAATTGTTTGATGTTTTCCTCCAAAATAAAGATACAATTAAGGACATTCTGTGGCAAGTTTGTTTTTTTTTTAATTGACTTACCTTACTTCATTTGCCAAATAGTTTACCAGGTCAGTGATGTTGTTGGTGTTTATCAGGTGCAGTTTCAACACTTGAAAGTATTTTGTCTTTGCCAAAATCCCAAACTCCTTCTTATTTCTGATATTATTCAGAACCAGATTTTGAATCTATAGAATGACAGGTATCGTCATATTAACAACGTGTTAAATGCCAAGTCCTAGTTAATTCCGAAACATTTCTGACAATCAGGAGTGAGACCGTCATCGTGATGTAATGCACTCCTTTGTGAGGGGTGGGCCGGGGAGGGGGGGACTGCGTTGGCCCATTTCAGAACTATATACAGTGAATAAGTAGGAAGTAACTGTGGTTAAGCACTTTGGGACTTTTAAAAAAAGCACCGCAATAAACAAGACAGCCAGGGTCCCCGCTGTTAAAAAAAGGTATAGGTTTTAATAAAAGCAAATGAATAGTATGTATTAACGAAAAGATTGAGACAGTGACTTTCCGCTTCATCCAGGTTTCGGGGAAATTATTTACCTTCTAATACCTAATTTTTCATAGCAAAAAGGAGATGAAATTTTCTCTTACTTGATGTGAAAACCCTGCCAGCTGGCCGGTACTCATATGCTCCTCCAACTGCTGTAAAATGACCTGAGGGCTGCACGAGTTCAGAAAGGTCTAGAGAAACAAATCAAAACATAGTTGACAGAAAAGCGTAATTACTACTCATGTCTGTCCAATCTGTAAAGTATTCCCTTTTTAAATCTGAAATACCTGAAAGGATTTCTATTATAGGAAAAAATGCCTCTGTCAACCAAACATTATTGAAATAAGGTAAGAAGCATTTGACAAAAATGCCCATTCCAACCGTAAGAGCTGTTTAATAATAGGCATGCTGTCATCCTAAGTGCCAAAAGGAATCTATTTAAATACTAGCAC